TCTTGGCAATGCCAGTGAGTCAGGCCGGAAAGAGCCCGGTCGCCAACGATTCGAACAGCTCTGCACTGGATACGATCAAATGGAAGGAGGTCGCACTGGGGAGCCCCATGCCAGAGATGGAAACAGTATTCCATGTCCGGCTGAACCTGCGCCTTGCAGAGTCGCAGGCGGTGTGCCGGCATGAACTTGCAACCAACTTCAAACAAGAAGGCTATAGATGCGTTGTCACCTCCGAGGACTATGGTGCTTACAGTCCATAATTAGAATTCCTCTCTATAATCTTTAAACCAAAACATAGCAGCAATGGCACAGGCTTTTGGCGGAAAAAATAGGCAAGAGGGTGCCTGTCTTGATGCACTCCTAGGCTTAACAGTGTCCCACCACCTAGTATTTGAGGTAGATTAGAACGAGAGATTTTGTTACCTTTTGATAAATTGTCTATAACCCTAACTAAATTTTGTTACAATTCATCCCTTACAAACGGAATAAAAACGTGAATATTTCGACGAAACTAATATTATAAAGTGTGGTTTATAGCATTAGGTCCTTCAAAAATAAACTTGTAATAAGTACTGCTTGCAGGAAATAACTCCGACATCTCGTATACCTGAGGGAGACATACACTGAAAACGCGAAATTGAAGTCAGCTTGAATGACGTGTAAATTCATTTCAACAACGAAATACCTGTACAGCATAAGCAATATTCATTCGTCAGTATCGTTTTTTTCATATCGGTGGTTTATTACATGTTTTGAGTGATGTGTTTGATGTAAGAATGTATTTATTTGCCTTGTGTTAAGAACTTATACAACAGGCATTTTACCGGGTAAAGCCAGGGCGGGGTGTTTCTTAGAATTATTATCAAAACTTAATTTGGCAAAAAAACGCTCCTTCCACAATCTCGTGCACTATATCACATCAGCCTCTATGAAATCTAGTAATCACCACTAATTTCTACACTGGATAATACACATCCAATTCTACACGTGTTAAACTAATAGTTTACTAGGTTTAAATAAAACTGGTTTTAACAGACTTTGCTTATATTCCCGACATTTCGAGTGCTTGTCGGAGTACGTTTTGGGTAGATGTAAGAACGAAAAGATGTAGCCAATGATAAAATATCTATAGATAGCAACATTCATTTTCCATTACCATTTGTGCCTCTTAACTAAAAAAAACATTTTTCAATGATGAATGACATTTACAATGATGAAAGACCACTTTAGGATACCATCATCTGTTCAAGTCGGGAATTATGTCCCTAGCACACAACATGTTGCTGTTGCCAAAGGGCTCGTAACTTTGAAGCTTGCTTTGAACTTGAGAGCTTGCAATCTCATTATCATACTGGTATAAATTCGTATCTCCCAAAGTTAAATCCGAAATAAAGTTTGACTATTCATCAAGCTATGCTGAATCATCAAATTTATCATGTACGACAGTAGCTTAGTAGTTAAAGATACGGAGTGCTAACTTGGCAATAACATCCACACCATCTAGATGCCTGGCGATCCACTACTGTGGCATTTATTAGGAGTTTTTCTCCTCGAACGATGTCTTTGTGGAATCGTTTACCATAGGCAATTTTTCTGGACCGATAAGAGTTAAGGACCAAGAAACGAGCTTACTCCTTTCTAAAAGGCCGGCATCGCACCTGCAATTCCCCTGTTACTGCAGTCCTTCATGGGCAGTGATCGACACTTACATACGCATGCTCGTTTGCCCCCTCATCTATATATAAAAAAGAGTGAGTTCGAATCCGCCTCGTCTACTTTCTTAAACCACAAGCGTTTTAAGCTTACTTGGAGTAGTAACGAAAACATTAGTAATATTGCGTGCAACACTTAAAAAAGCTAGATGTAGAATTCCTAGATGGGCGGGCAAGGGACGCAGCCTTGTGCGAAGATTCCGGTAATACGACCGCCAATCCGCCCGCCATTGCAATGTATTGGCAATATGTTTTTACAGATATATGATGAAAAACAAGTGTGGTGATAAGGGCCGTAAACATTCAAAAAATTGTGTTCCTTGCATATAATTTTTTATAGAATATTGATGTTAAACGAGTCACAGTCCACGTGATGGTAAGTGGATAACGTTGACCCATAAAAATCTACACTAATCCTTGATTAAAAAGTTTACCGGTTCAGCACTGACACTACGACACTCATATTACGAGAGATAGCGGCATTACTCTGTGGTTTTACGCTGTTATTCTTTGAGAGCATGGATCTACCCCGGTAATATCCATAATGTACAACATGGCTCTACCACGTCAGGTAATAAAATGTCGACAACGTGCCTGACGAACTTAGCATCTATGACAAATCCACCTCTTAACAACAATTAGAAGACATCTAAAAAAATATTTCCCTAGATAATTAACCTTTTTTTGTTGTATTTTCATAGCTAACTTAATTTCGCTTAATTAATTTTACGGTTTTACACACGGGTGTTCTCCCCACAAGTAGTAACCTACATAATTAACATGAATTTAAATTAAAGACAGCAACATAAAATATTATCACCATTCATCGTTGCTTGCTGAGATAACTCGGGAGCTTAGAGCATGTTTTCAGTTCTACAATTTTTTTCTTTTTCAGTTTTATTGAGTAATTGTGATAATTGAGCACACAGTTCACGTGATGGTAAATGTATGCTTCGATCCATAGACATCAACATTTTATTTTAGATTAAAAATCAAAATCTAGATGTCCGGCTATTGAGGACCAAAATGGAATAGCTCGAAGAGTCTCTGGTTCTCTACATGCAGCAACACAGCAACACAGCAGATTCAATGAAATATTAATTTTCGGTCTATCTACACAGAACGAGAATACGACGACGTTTTCCTTTTTTTGATTCCCGATATTTCGAGTGCTTTACATTACAAGAAAAGCTGTTCATGTAAATATATGAAATTCTTTAGTTTTGTTTATTTTTTAATTTAAAAAAAAATACTTACATAGTTCCTTTTATATTGTAACTTTGTTCACATTTAGGCAGATTGTGATTGTATATGTTCGGATAGAATAATCTATGTAAGTGTATAAGAGTAAGTGTAAGTACTATTACGTATGCATGCGTTAACCTTTATATTAGTTAAAATATCATTTTGTTAAAGGGAGTTGCATATAAAACACATCAAAGTAACCACGTCTCCCTGTTACCAATTTTCCCGTAAACTAAATTAAACCCTAAGATCGAGAACATTATGTATATGTATTTAAATTGGAAACAAATGAATACAGTATAAATAAAAACTTTAAATCGCAAACTTTAAGTCGTACTGACATGTGTATCATACATGGTAGAGCCACACTGCAGCTATATTATGATTGTAGCACGAATGGGTCGGCTCGACTAGGGAATAACAACGCTCTCACAGAATACCAGCGTAAAACAGCAGCTTAATCAATAATATAATAAGATAATTGATAGAATCAGGCGTCACTTTGCGGAAATCCATTATAATAAAAAATAAAAATATAAATTTCTTCGCAACCTTCCAATGATGTGTCGTGTGTTACCTGGATTGAAGAGCACCTCCCGCCCTCCCTAAATTGCATGCACTAACTCCGTCACCACTAATCCCAGCACCACTACTCCCAACACCATTATTCCAGGCAACACGTACCATCGACGATAATACGACACGTGTTTCGCCTCTACACGAGGCATCTTCAGGTAACGTAGACTCTACGGCGGCTGACCGCTAAGTAGTCGTAGTCTTAGTAAGTTAGTCTTTTTTACTGGAAGCGAGGCATTCCATCTTAGTCCCCGGGGTGACTGTGCATCCGCATTTTAATTCTTAATCGAGGACGAAAGCAGATGTCTACGGGCCACAGCATCCACTCACCATCAGGTGGACTGTGTGCTCGTTTGTCACCCTTATTCTACAAAACAAACTAAACTCTTGTTCACTGACGGCGCGAATATTATTTGGCAGCACCAGTCTGCTACCCGTTAGCACTGTAGTTCTATTTAATCAACTTTTTCTGGATAATTAGGCCGCTCTTTAACTACATTTAATATGATCATTCGAGTATTTATATGTGACAGAGACACGATACAGCTACATTGAGAATCTAGCATGAATAGGTCGGCTCAACCGGAGAACTACCACGCTTTCACGGAATAGAAGCCTAAAAATTCCAGCTTAATAGTGCTGTGTTTCATATGGTGAGTGTATAGCATCAGAGATCCTTTTCACTGGAAACTAGTCATTCCATCTTAGTCTTCAGGGGTGACAAAGCATTTGCATTTTGACATTTAATATTAATCCATAAACATTTATCCTCAAATAGGGATATTTGAGGACAAATGCTGACGTCCCTGAGCCACAGCATACACTTACAATCAGGCGGACTGTGTGCTCGTTTGTCACCCTTATTCTATATAAAGAATAGTGTTTGTAACTGTGCGGCTCAAGTTTTAAATTTTATTTTATAATCAAGTTTAAATAGATCCGCTATTTTTTATGGTCTCACTACCTCCGGAAAAAAAGCATTTAGTCTTTTAGTAAAAAGTCATTATCGTAGGTTTAATATAACCGCTAGATTAAAACTTTGCAAGTCGCATAATTCATTGCTCCCATCCCGTTTAATTCGTCAACTTGCTTAACGAGTTCCATTACGTTATCGGTTGATTGCCTCCAGTCCTCGACGCGACTGATTTATTGCCTTCGATTGCTAGTTTAATCGCAAAACCAATGCATAGCAATCCGATGTCTAAGGTGAATTAATCAACCCATCTATGCTCGAAGTTTTCTTGCGTTATAGACTTCTTTAACAGGATATCTATAGCAGAACTAGAGTAACCAACGTAGTACAATGGACTAGGAAGCCGTAATGCCAACACCCCGGCTAAGTAGCTTGAAGAACCGACAACCGATGGGGTAGAAAAGACAGCAATCTGCAGTTTCATACAAAATGTAATTAAGAGGAATTTGACAATAGCAAAAGTCAGAATATGAAGAGAATAAGATAGTAGAAGCATGGCAAATACAGTTCAAACTTTATTTAGCCATTCTCTAAGTATGTCAATGATCGTATATTATCTTGTATATATCTTCGTATATAACCGTTGGTGTGTCTTTTAGTGAAAAGTTTAAGTGTGTTTAAAAAAGGTTCTCAACTGGCAGCCTCGTACCGGTAGGCATCCAATCGTTTGGATGCAGATATATGGCTCAGGGCTGTGTTTTATAGCATTATTTGGTCGAGGAAGTGCACTGAAATTATCATGATGGTGATGATGAATTAACCGATTATTTATCCCGTGTACTACATATACATAGTTCATTGTTATTGTCTTACTATTTCGTCATCTAATCGGACATTACGCCGCGTTTAAAATACACAACCTGCTGACCGGCAGCAGAGCGAAAGGTGCAAGACTTCCGGTATTGCGGCGTCAATCCTGCCAAGCGTGACACTTAAACCAAATTCTACCCTAGAATGAAGAGATCCATAACAATTTGTTATATTTACACAAATTCATGTAATAAATAAACAATATAATTAATTTTAAGTTTAAACCCGACGTTTCCAGGCTAACTATGAGATCGGGACGTCAAACACCTCAGTTCGCTAGTAACCAAGGGTGCTGTGCACCCGAAACGTCGGGAATTAAAAAGTTAAAAAACTTTTCCCTCCCTTTTTGTATTTGCACATGTAATATATATTTACACGTTTACAGATCCATGCTGCAGCTATATTATGGTTGTTGCACGATTAGGTCGGCTAGACCGGGGAGGGACTACGCTCTCACAAAATACCAGCGCAAAATAGCAGCTTAATGCCGGTGTGTATCGTATGGTGAGGGTAGAGAACCGGAGACCTTTTTTACTGGAAATGAGGCATTATATGTGGCTTAACCCGCAGTGATGACAACGCATCTACATAATGATTTCTTATATTTACGCGAATACTACACATTGAAATAATACTAATTTTTACGGAATTTATCGCGTATATTTAACTTTTTAAATACCCGACGTTTCGAACGAGCACTCATGGTCACGAGGGCGGGACTGAGACGTCCATATGTCATAGTTAACCGCGGTTACCATAGATTAAAATTTAACTTTTGTTCTGTTCTATGCAGTATGAACTTATGGTATCTTGAAGTCTTGCAGTTGTATGCTTGGGTTGGGATTTAATTTTATTTATTATAGGATCCCAAGCAGATGGTAGCACCCAGCCATCTTCTCTATTGAAATTAGGAGGTTTTTTGATTTCAATAGCCTCGCGAATCATCCTTGGAAGGAATCGGTGTTCTTTAGCGAGGATTTGCGGTCTATCAAATCTGATGTAGTGACGGGGGCGATCCTGTACGTGTTCACAGACTGCAGACTTCCCGGAGCGTCGATTCTTCACATCAGCTATACGTTCTTTAACGCGGGTTTTTATTGATCTTTTAGTTTGTCCTATGTAGGAGAGACCACATTCACAATCAAGTTTGTACACTCCTGCATCTTGCAGAGGGACATTACACTTGACTGATGGTAAAAACTGACCAATCTTCTTCAGCGGCATGAATACTGTCACAGATCCCTCGTGCTCTCTGAAACAAAGATTTACCCACGGTAGCTAACTGTGAAGGATGGTGGTGAGAATCACCGTTTAAATATCTAGCTGTATGGGTCTTTTTTCTATACACAGTATGGCTCAAGGTGTTATCAGGATTCCGAATTACTAACACATCTAGAAAAGCTAAGGAATTGTTTGCCTCTAACTCCATTGTGAACTGAATTTTAGAATTTATAGAGTTAAGATGGTCTAAAAATGCAGTTACTTTGTCTAAAGGTAGAATTGTGAAAGCGTCGTCTACGTACCGCTTGTAGAATCTTGGATTTATGGGTGAACTAAGCAGGGATTTCTCCTCAAAGTCTTCCATGAATACGTCGGCGACAATAGGAGATACATGTGAGTCCATCGCCACACCATCTACTTGCTTGTAGAACTCCTCCTTCCACAATAGGTAGCCAGATGTAAGGCAGTGTCTGAGTAATACTGCATATTCTACGGGCATGTTGTTTTCTTCCAGCCTTCTAGTTACAATTGAGATGCAGTCTTCAACAGGTAACCATGTAAACAATGACTGCACATCAAAACTGACCATAGTTTCATTATCTGCCAGATGTAGGTCTTTAATCTCGCTGACAAAATGGTAGGAATCCTTTATGTGTGCTCTTGTATGTCCCCTGAGCGGTGAGAGTATTTTCGCTAAGTGTTGAGCCAATCTGTAAGTTGGTGAATCGATTTGGCTCACTATTGGACGTAATGGAGCATTGGCCTTGTGTATTTTTGGTAACCCATACAATTTTGGTGATTTGGCGCACGTAGGTATTATCCATTTTGCGTCCAGATTTAATTTTTCGGAGTGTTTCTTTATGAGGTCACTAGTTGTTTTTAATGTGCTATTTGTTGGGTCGTTTTTAACCTTTTTATAAGTACTTACATCCGACAAAAGTTCTTGTATTTTAGAATTATAATCTGACGTATCCATGACTACCGTGGCGTTTCCCTTATCTGCGCGGAGAATCGTAAGTTCGTGTTTATTGCGTAGGTTCTTTAACGCTATAAATTCGTCTTTGGGAAGATTCGGTTTAGGCACTGAACACCGACGTAACATAGATGAAATGTCTTGAGGTATCGCCTCCAAATCTTCTTTCCGCATATTGTTTTTAAATAAACAGTCCTCGACACTACAGATAATTTCTTCGTACGGTAATTTGCGGGGTGTAATTGCAAAGTTGAGGCCTTTGGATAAAACCCTAATTGTTGCATCATCCAGTGTTTGTTTTGACAGATTATAGAGCGCGATTAATCTATGATCTGTGTTTGTCAATGGTTGCTTTCGGTTCTGGCATTGATTCAGATGTTTGACATTTGACTTGTTCGTTAATTTTTGATATTTTTCTATATGTTTGTTTTTGCATTCGTTATATTTACTAATTTCGCGTTTATTTAATGTTTCCATGCAAAAATTATAGTCAAACGTCGTTAAAACTTTCTTTAATTCACTGGATGATGTGTCTATGGATTTGTTTATGTCATAGAGATCGGAGCGTTTTTGTTGGATTACCGTCCGTAACAACTTTTTACTCGCCTGATTTAAGATTTCAGCGCTTCCTCGAATGTCCTTTTTGGTTGATATTTTGACACACGTAGGAATGAGATTATGTTCTCGGCATCTCTTCAAGAAATTTAAGGCTGTTAGATATCTTGCGCGCTTGGTCTTTAGATCTTCTAATCGGCGTATTTTATTTGCAATTACCTGTCCGTACTGGTTTACATAATGATTTCTTATATTAAACGCGAACACTACACATTGAAATAATACTAGTTTTTACGGAATTTATCGCGTATATTTAACTTTTTAAATACCCGACGTTTCGAACGCTTTACAGCACTCATGGTCACGGGCGGGACTGAGATGTTCAACGTCCATATGTCATAGTTAACCGCGGTTACCATAGATTAAAATTTAAATTTTGTTCCGATCTATGCAGTATGAACTTATGGTATCTTGAAGTCCTGCAGTTGTATGCTTGGATTGGGATTTAATTTTATTTATTATAGGATCCCAAGCAGATGATAGCACCCAGCCATCTTCTCTATTGAAATTAGGATGTTTTTTGATTTCAATAGCCTCGCGAATCATCCTTGGAAGGAATCGGTGTTCTTTAGCGAGGATTTGCGGTCTATCAAATCTGATGTAGTGACGGGGGCGATCCTGTACGTGTTCACAGACTGCAGACTTCCCGGAGCGTCGATTCTTCACATCAGCTATACGTTCTTTAACGCGGGTTTTTATTGATCTTTTAGTTTGTCCTATGTAGGAGAGACCACATTCACAATCAAGCTTGTACACTCCTGCATCTTACAGAGGGACATTACACTTGACTGATGGTAAAAACTGACCAATCTTCTTCAGCGGCTTGAAGTATGTTTTGATGGAAGCGCGCTTCAAGATGTAGCCAATCTTGTCAGTGACTCCTCTAACATATGACAGTACAGCAGGTATACGCTCGACTGTGGCCGGCTTCACTCGTTCACTGTGACGTAAGCGTGGGACTCGAAGCTTGTTGTCATGCAAAACTTGCATGACATAGTGGAGCTCTGCAGCCAGGTGTTTACTGTCACAGATCCCTCGTGCTCTCTGAAACAAAGATTTACCCACAGTAGCTCACTGTGAAGGATGGTGGTGAGAATCACCGTTTAAATATCTAGCTGTATGGGTCTTTTTTCTATACACATGTATGGCTCAAGGTGTTATCAGGATTCCGAATTACTAACACATCTAGAAAAGCTAAGGAATTGTTTGCCTCTAACTCCATTGTGAACTGAATTTTAGAATTTATAGAGTTAAGATGGTCTAAAAATGCAGTTACTTTGTCTAAAGGTAGAATTGTGAAAGTGTCGTCTACGTACCGCTTGTAGAATCTTGGATTTATGGGTGAACTAATTACCGTACGCAAATTACCGTACGAAGAAATTATCTGTAGTGTCGAGGACTGTTTATTTAAAAACAATATGCGGAAAGAAGATTTGGAGGCGATAGGTCAAGACATTTCGTCTATGTTACGTCGATGTTCAGTGCCTAAACCGAATCTTCCCAAAGACGAATTTATAGCGTAAACCCTAGAACCGTACCCTGGGGTACAACTGAAAAAATATTTTTAAAATTGGCTATAACTTTTTTTGTTTTAAAACGGATCTTTTCGCACCGGCGCGTATTTATGGGGGACGGGGGGTTGTGTCGAAGCATCAGTCGGGCGCGAGTTCTGTTAGCGTGCGATCGTGGCAACGCGTGTGTGGGGTACTCCAGCACCCCTGGGTACAGTTAAGGTAATTATATTAGTTACTAATTGCTGGATGTTTTTTATGAAATAAGCTATGCTATTTTTTTGTTTGATTCATGATTTTAATTTTAACATTGCAATATTACCTTAGAAGTAACTTTGTCTGCATACGATGTGTTTGTACTTAATATTTATTTGCAATATTTATACAATTTTATTTACGTTATTTCGTTTAGTAACGAATTTTTTGTAATTCTTCTTTTTAGATGACGTCAAGAAAAAACCTTTCAGAAAATGAAATTCAAAACCTCCTTCTGGACGTTCGTGATGAAGATGAAGTGTTTCTTGGGGATGAATTAGAAGATGAACTGGATGAAATTATTCCCGATTTTCGCGATGAACAGGTTCCTGTCGAAGAGGATGGCTCTAACCATGAAACAGATCTTGAAAGTTCGGAAGAAGAAATTGAAGAGGATATTGTCCAGGTTAGAATCACAAATTCTCCAGTAACAGTTCTTACAGTACCCGAAGTTTTGCGAGGTAAAGGAACAAAAAAGCAAAGAACTAGCGAAATATTTCTATGGTATGGGACTCATCGCCGTTCCTCGCGTACTCCACAAAGAAATATAATATTTCATGCACCAGGAAATAAAGCTCTTGCTAAATTTACTACCAGTGCCTTAGATAGTTGGAAATTATTTTTTTACGGATGAGATTTTGCATATGATAGTAACTAATACTAATCTTGAGATATCTGAACAGCGCAAGAAGTATAAGTCAGACAGGCCAATAGCATCTCAAAATGATAATGATGATGATAATTATGTTCCTACGAGTATTCGACCTTCTTTTGTCCGAGATGTAACCGTAACCGAATTAAAAGCTCTCTTTGGCTTATACTATTTAGCTGGAGTTTTAAAAATTAATCACTTGTCTGTCAAAGAAATATTTGATAAAAATACGGGCATCAACTATTTTCGGTCTACTATGAGTGAGAAAAGATTCGAATTTACTTGGGTTTCGCGGTAGATGCCCATTCCGTATGTACATTCCATCAAAACCCGATAAATATGGAATAAAACTGTTAATGTTTTGTGATGCAAAGTCGTATTATATGATAAATAGTATAATATACACTGGAAAAGATTCTACACCACGTGAATTACCAGTGGCTGAGTATTACGCATTGGAGCTTTCAACTTCTATTCATGGGTCTAATAGAAATATCACGTACGATAACTGGTTTACTTCAATCCCTGCTGCCGAAAAACTCTTAAGCAAAAATGTTACAACAGTTGGGACAATAAAAAAAACAAAACGGAAATCCCTACTCATTTTTTGGAAACCAAAAACCGCCTCAAGAACACATCAATCTTTGCTTTTCATGACGAACTTACTTTGTTATCATATGTGCCTCCAAAGCTAAGTAAAGGAAAAAAGAAAAACGTGATTATGCTTTCTACTATGCACTATCAACCAGACGAAGACAAATCTGTTGATTTACCAGAAATAATAAGTTTTTATAATCAAACGAAAGGAGGAGTGGACACTTTTGATCAGCTTTGTCATACATACAGTGTTTCTCGCAAAACTCGTCGCTGGAGCTTTTGTGTATTCTACGGAATTTTGAACATTGTGGGAATAAACTCCATGATATTACTGCATTCATCAAAAGCCAATGGTAAACAAGTTTTCAAGAACAGACGGAGTTTTCTGAAGGCCTTAGCTTTTGACCTTATAAAACCTTATTTGGAGGACCGATTTTTATATAAAACTTTGCCTATGCATCTACAAATAAGTATTGGCGGTATTTTAGAAAGAACACGACCTTCTAGTGCTCCATTATCTTCAGATTCAAAATCTGGTAGATGTTCATTTTGTCCCAGGTCAAAAAGACCGTAAATCACGCACTCGATGTGAAAAATGTAAAAGTTTTATATGTTTAGAGCACCAAAAAAAAGATTTGCCAAAATTGTTAATTTAAGTTTGTTAATTTTTTGTTTAATTATGTAACGTGAGACTGAAATAAGTGCCATAAAAGACTATGTATGTTGATTATTCATAAATGTCTATTCTTATGTAAAAAAAAATGTTTTATTTAACGGGGTACACTAGAACCCCTGGGTACTGTTATTTAAAGTCTATTATGGGTACGGTTCTAGGGTTAAAGAACCTACGCAATAAACACGAACTTACGATTCTCCGCGCAGATAAGGGAAACGCCACGGTAGTCATGGATACGTCAGATTATAATTCTAAAATACAAGAACTTTTGTCGGATGTAAGTACTTATAAAAAGGTTAAAAACGACCCAACAAATAGCACATTAAAAACAACTAGTGACCTCATAAAGAAACACTCCGAAAAATTAAATCTGGACGCAAAATGGATAATACCTACGTGCGCCAAATCACCAAAATTGTATGGGTTACCAAAAATACACAAGCCCAATGCTCCATTACGTCCCATAGTGAGCCAAATCGATTCACCAACTTACAGATTGGCTCAACACTTAGCGAAAATACTCTCACCGCTCAGGGGACATACAAGAGCACACATAAAGGATTCCTACCATTTTGTCAGCGAGATTAAAGACCTACATCTGGCAGACAATGAAACTATGGTCAGTTTTGATGTGCAGTCATTGTTTACATGCTTACCTGTTGAAGACTGCATCTCAATTGTAACTAGAAGGCTGGAAGAAAACAACATGCCCGTAGAATATGCAGTATTACTCAGACACTGCCTTACATCTGGCTACCTATTGTGGAAGGAGGAGTTCTACAAGCAAGTAGATGGTGTGGCGATGGGCCCACCTGTATCTCCCATTGTCGCCGACATATTCATGGAAGACTTTGAGGAGAAAGCCCTGCTTAGTTCTCCCATAAATTCCAAAATTCTACAAGCGGTACGTAGACGACACTTTCACAATTCTACCTTTAGACAATGTAACTGCATTTTTAGATCATCTTAACTCTATAATTCTAAAATTCAGTTCACAATGGAGTTAGAGGCAAACAATTCCTTAGCTTTTCTAGATGTGTTAGTAATTCGGAATCCTGATAACACCTTGAGCCATACTGTGTATAGAAACAAAGACCCATACAGATAGATATTTAAACGGTGATTCTCACCACCATCCTTCACAGTTAGTTACCGTGGGTAAATCTTTGTTTCAGAGAGCACGAGGGATCTGTGACAGTAAACACCTGGCTGCAGAGCTCCACCATGTCAAGCAAGTTTTGCATGACAACAAGCTTCGAGTCCCACGCTTACTTCACAGTGAACGAGTGAAGCCGGCCACAGTCGAGCGTGTACCTGCTGTACTGCCATATCTTAGAGGAGTCACTAACAAGATTGGCTACATCTTGAAGCGCGCTTCCATCAAAACATACTTCAAGCCGCTGAAGAAGATTGGTCAGTTTTTACCATCAGTCAAGTGTAATGTCCCTCTGCAAGATGCAGGAGTGTACAAGCTTGATTGTGAATGTGGTCTCTCCTACATAGGACAAACTAAAAGATCAATAAAAACCCGCGTTTAAGAACATATAGCTGATGTGAAGAATCGACGCTCCGGAAAGTCTGCAGTCTGTGAACACGTACAGGATCGCCCCCGTCACTATATCAGATTTCATAGACCGCAAATCCTCGCTAAAGGACACCGATATCTTCCAAGGATGATTCGCGAGGCTATTGAAATCAAAAAATATCCTAATTTCAATAGAGAAGATGGCTGGGTGCTACCATCTGCTTGGGATCCTTTAATAAATAAAATTAAATCCCAACCCAAGCATACAACTGCAAGACTTCAAGATACCATAAGTTCATACTGCATAGATCGGAACAAAATTTAAATTTTAATCTATGGTAACCGCGGTTAACTATGACATATGGACGTTGAACATCTCAGTCCCTCCCGTGACCATGAGTGCTGTAAAGCGTTCGAAACGTGAGGTATTTAAAAAGTTAAATATACGCGATAAATTCCGTAAAAACTAGTATTATTTCAAAACGCATCTACATTTTTATTCTTAATCGAGAATAAATATAGATGTTCATTGGCCACAGCATCCACGTATTACCTGGTGGAGTGTGCACTCGCTTGTCACCCTTATTTTTTATGAATAAAATATTGTAACAGCCTCTCACTTCCAGTAAATAAGACGAATCTAACGACATACGTTATAACCCATCAAGCCGTTCAGGCTACATAGCGTTCCAAAGAATTAGACATACATACATAAACATGCTCGAAAACATTTCTCCTCCTTCTGGGGCAGTCGGGTAATAAAATGGAGAGTCGCACAAATGTAACGGGCATCTCTTCAGGAAAATACGTACGAGATTAGAGTAAGAAATCGAACACAGACTCATCTTATTTCGTTCCAACTAATTTTCATTTTACAAAATAAAACAAAGCATCCCTCGCACACTTAACCTACTTTCCTTAAAGATTTAGTGCCTTTCATTTAAATTGGTAACTGTGGAGGTCAGACTAACGAGTAGAGACGGTAAAGCTTCTGGGCACTGCGTTGGCTTAGTTCACGATCCTTCGAACTTTGTACGTTAAGTATAAAAGTTTCACAAAGAATTTAATATTACGATTACATTTAAAAGATACAGTTATATTATGATAACACAAACGTGTATAATGTTAATGAATTCGAGATGATGTGTTTTGTAAAAATTTTTTTGAAACTTCATTTTTATTTACTACATTACACGTACATTTACATATATTATGCATAATACGCGCGCTTGTATATGCCCGACTGCCTACTTATATTCTATGTACTATATTATATAAATTTACGCGACTTTAGGTTGGTCTAAGACCCATCCCAGCCGCACCTTAACCTATAGTTACTGTATTACAAAATTAAAGGTACAATATTGTATTAAACGCATCGGATGAATATAATTCAGGCCGCTATTTGAACAACGCCTTTTAGTAAAAAGGCTAGACTGTTAATTAAAAGGCTAATGTAGTTTGCTGCGACATGTACATAAGCACACGTAAACATTCATAGCGTCACACTTAATTACAACCTCAATATCATATTTATATACAGTAATACCTTTACGACATGACTACATGTCCCGCATAAACCTAAGCATGGAACCTCATTGGACATAGAAATACATATATAAAATACGCATACATTTTAAAAAAATGAAAAATTGCAACGAAAAGATTTATATTTTTTGTAAGAATATCTACTACCCAATATTGGGCAGCAACATCTTCCTGATAACAAATCAGAGGTTGGTAACCTGCCTGCCAAACGTAGCAACTATGGTGTAGTGGCGACTGTACGTTATGTTTACAGTATGGATGCAACATTTTTTAGCTGGCCGGCGCAAGGCGAGTCATTCACCCCCGCCCCCGTCACGTACCCTCCTAGGTTCCTCGGGACCGAGGTGCCTCGCTAGCTCGGTAGTTTAGGCTTTACGTAGTTTTCGTAATTTAGTTTTTGATTAAGGAAATTATTATGGAAATGATAATACGTTATTATATATGAACATTTGAATTTTAATTTTGCACCGTATCTTCTGAACTATCATTAGTGAAAGTAAGGGTCAGGACACTGAGTGGAGTCGAAAATAATATGAACTAAACTAAAACCAACCCAAAACCATAAAATATGGCAAAATGACGCAATCTATTTGAGAGGCCAGTGTTCAGCAATGGACTTTTGTAAGCTGTTACGGA